AGAGAATGGTTCCACCTGTCCTTATAAGTGTGCTGGCCACGTAACATTGTCAAAGGCAAGGCTGCTTCCTGGAAGTGGGGCCCGGGCTCGTGGGCATGGCAGGTGAGAGCGCAGTTGGCACTGGGGAGGGGGCTGGACAGGACGGGAGGGGTGCACCCTATACCTGCCTCCCCCCATGAAAATGCAGGCAGAGAGCTGTGGGCTTGACCCCAAATCAGGCCTGGTGCTTTCTCAGGGCTGTGTGACTCTCTGCCCTTGCTAAACCAGACGAGGCTGGAGAGCCCTTTGTTCATTCTGCAAATACTTCCTGGGTGCTCACTCCAGGTGCAGCACCAGGCATGGTGCTGGGGCTGCAATAAGCATTCACTGTGAGTGCGGAAGGTTCTGGAAGCAGAGCGGAAGTGTCCAGGTGTCCTGCCTCAGAGTCTCTGCAAGGCCTGGTGGTTAGGGGACGCTGCGTGGGACCAGGGAGTGGACGGGGGAGATTTGCCACACCATGAGAGTCCCAATACTGCTACAGGGTCTATATGGAGGGGTTGGGGGGTTCAGCTCACTGGGATGAACAGTGGGGACAGGGACAGGTGAGGAAGACATGTCCCCTGGGAGGTTGGGACATGGGGTGGGGTGTGAGCGGCGTTGCCTCAGTGGTGGAGGCTGGGGCAGAGAGAGGGTGACCCATGGGCCTGGTGTGCACAATTGTCTTCTCATCAGGAGAGGTGAAAAAACAGTCCCTCCTTCTAGAGTCTTCAAAGTCCCAAACATCATAAGGTCACCATTTAAAAGAAACGAGTCCAGACCTTCATCTCTGTGCAGGACACTTGCTTTGTGTGGAACTGGGAGCTTCCGGGCCAGGCATGCTGGATGCCACGCCATGGCCCCAGGGGTTCCTGGCTTGATGGCTGATGACGCAGTCTTGATTGGCTTCCTTCTCTTTGCTGTCTCACTGCCCTGCTCCCCTGGAGGCCTCCCAGGAACACAGCCCACAGAAACTCTTAGCACAGGAATCCTTTGCGTAAGGTCAGCTGCTCAGGTATCCAGACTATGACAGGGTAACGTATTCATGTCATCAGCACTGATTAGCCTATGTATATTTGTGTATTTGAAGTTGATTCTGGGCACAGTCTATTTCTCAGATGCCGTCAAGTCTCGCCTTTGGTGTCCAGAATCATGCTGGGTCCTGTGGGTGTTCCCTCTTCATCAGTGGTACCCTGAGCCTTGCATTCACACGGGCTGAGACCCCATCTCTCCGTGCCCTGCACTGCCTGCTCTCACCAAGCTCCAGCCCCTTCTTAGTCACCCTCCCACAAATGCCTGCTGTTATGAGAACCCCGCAGTTGCCCTCCTGTCCCCTCTTCCTGATCTCTAGGCTGCTGGCCACCTGCCCCTGGACATGACTTCCTGAAACAGGTGAGCTTAGGGATTCTCTGGTCCCAGCTGGATAAGCCTCAGTTTCTCCATATGTAGGAGCCGTAACACCTGCCTTCCTGGTGTCTCTGAGAATGTAGAGTAGTTGGGCTCTGGAGTTAGGCTGCCCAGCTCTACCGCTCTCTGCCACATAACCATGGGCCAGCTTGTTAGCCTCTCTGCGCCTCGGAGCCCTTCACTGTAAAATGGGAAGACGACAAGCTTATTATGAAGTTGACATTAGACTACAAAGTTGTGATCTTCATACATGTTTGCTTGTATAGCCCCTAAAATAATTTCAGAGCTACACACTCATGCACGTTGTTTTGCTGACATCTAAACTTTTTAATCATAAATGTAAATTGTTGCAAATGATGTAATTTCCAGAGCATCACCAAAATTCACATCTTAAAATAAAATGCCTACCTCTCTCTTTTATATCAGAATACCATGGATTTAATAGCCATCCCCATTTATTTTTTTAAGCGTTTGGCTGCTAACCAAAATGTCTGCCGTCTGAATCCACCAGCTGCTCCTTGGAAACCCTATGGGGCAGTTCTTCTCTGTCCTAAAGAGTCATTATGAGTCAGAATCGACTAGGCGGCAATGGGCTTGGTTTGGTTTTTCCATTTACTGAAAAGACTCCATGTGAATAAAGACTCCATGAAGAAGCTTTAACTGTTAGAAAGTTTATATTGTCTCTTTGAACTTTTATTTTATCTTCAGTCTACTTCCCCAACAGAATTTTATCCCACTTTAATACAATTTTTTTTTGTTTTGAAAGTCCTTTATTGATCACTCTATTATAGTTCTTTGTGAAATAATATGAGTATAAATTTAATTAAGAGTTTTTTGTTTCCACTTAAGTCTCTACATGTTAAAATAGTTCTTCTGGGTTGAGTTGTCAATATTGCACAATTAGTAAGATGTGGACAATCACTGTAAACTTAATCAAAACCACATAAATATAAATTTAGGTAAATAATTAATAATCATATGAGATAAAATTTTATCGGAAATGCATTTTTATTGAGATGGGTTTTTATTTTTAATTCACGTATGCTTGGGTAAATTTACTCAGTGGTAGAATTCAGCATCAGTTCTGTTCCTATAGTTTCATGGATGTTAATTCTGAAGAACCTTGTTCAGTATAAACCAGCAAGAAGGAATGAAGTTCTGTTATCACACTCAGTACTTTACTCCTGTGTTGTATGTCAAAAGCCACATAATGATCTGTCATCAAAAATGATTTCTGATACTCTACCAGGTGACAACTGGATTAGGTCATTATTTGAAAGCAAAATACTGGAAAGCTCCCTCACTGCAAAGCCTCAGTTGCCCATCACTAGTCATTCCCTTTCTCAACACGGGCACTGAAATCTCAGATCATTTCTTTGTTGCCCGAAGGTTTTTACACCCTGGACAGGTCTCCATAGAACCATTCTGGATGGTGCGAGAAGTACCTTGATTTTATCCAGTGGGGAAGGGTGAAGAGAAAGGGATGGAGGGAAGGAGTGCAGCCAGACCTGGCACGTTCCCAGAGGGTCAGTTTTAGGGAAAAATACATGTGGAAGATGAGGATCTGGAAACTGATTACCTTAAAACTGTCCTTCCTGACAATGACCAGGGAGATGCAGACCCTAGTTTGAAGACCACTGATTTGTATAACAGGAGCCCCGGTGGCACAGTAGTTAAGTGCTTGGCTGCTAATCAAAAGGTTGGCAGTTCACACAGCAGCTCTGTGGGAGAAAGATGTGGCAGTCTGCTCCCGTAAAGATTCACAGCCTTGGAAACCCTATGGGGCAGTTCTACTCTGCCCTACAAGATTGCTATGAGTCAGAATTGATTCAGTGGCAGTGGGGTTTAGTGCCAGGCATTAATGAAAACTTCAATAAATGTTAACTATGGTTGTTAGGGAGCTTCTGGGTGGTGCAAACGTTTAATTCACTGAAAGGTTGGGGGTTCGAGTCCATCAAGAGGTACCTCAGAAGAAAAGTCTGGCAAACTACTTCTGAAAAATCAGCCATTGAAAGCCATATGGCAAATGTTGTGTTGTTGAACAACAAAAAAACCCTATAGAGTACAATTCTCCTCTGACACATGGGCTTTCCATGAGTCAGAATGGACTCAACAGCAACTGGTTAGGAGCCCCTGGCTGGTGCAAATAGTTAATGTACTCAGCTAATAACCTGAAAGGTTAGTGGCTCAAGTCCACCCGGAGGCACCTCATAAGAAAGGCCTCGTGATCAGCCTAAGAAAAATCAGCATTGAAAACTTTATGGAGCACAGTTTTACTCCGACACACGTGGGGTCGCCATGAGTTGGAATTTGATTCTCTAGCAACTGTTTTTTTTTTTTTCCCCTGGTATGGACATTAGTATTATTGTTGCATTTACACATTGCCCAGTATACAGTAGGTCCTCAGTAAATGGAACTGCAGAAAGTGTTTGGGTATCAGCAGGGAGTTTGACCAGATAAACCTGTGGTGCCCCCTAAGCCGAGATGCTATCATTCTTACACGGAACCTGCACTGGTTGCCTATCTCTTCGTGACTGATTATCCCAAATGTCGTAGTGTAAAACAACAACTGTTTTATTTACTCACACTTCCATGTGTCAGCGATTTAGGCTGGGGCAGCTGGAGCCACACATGCAGCTGCAGTCGCTGGCAGATCGGCTGGAGATCGGTCAGGGGCCCTCAGCTGGGAGGGCTTGTGTCTGCTGCCTGTGGTCTCACCTTGCCAGGCTCTGCACGTGGAGCAGATGAACCCTAGCAATAAGGGAGAGGACAAACCCAAGAGCACAAGTGCCTTGAAGCCTCTGCTTGTAACACGTTGGCTAATGTCCCACTGACCAAAGCAAGTCGTGCATCCACGCCCAGAGTCAGTGTGGGAGAGGACTGAGTCAGGGCGTGGCCAGGTACGGGGAGGCAGGAGTCACTAGGGGCCACTGACACAGCCATCTGCTGTAGAACCCCCATGACTCCTCTAAATGTTACAGCTTTCCTTCTGTCTGAGGTGAACCCAACTGCAAGCCCTCAGATCGGACACTTGGGATAAGTGCCTGGGTATTCTTACTTTTCCTCTGAGGCTAGAATCAGTTGGTTTTCCTAAAGGAGACCCACTTTGGAAGGATGTTTTGCTCTAAAGCTGTTTTCCCAAGGGCCTCTTCTTACTTCTGGAAGGGCATTAATCAGAGAATGAACCCCATTTTACAGTAAGGAGCTTCTAAGTGGGACAGGTTGGCCCAGCTCGCTGCAAGCAGATCTTATCATGATCAATGCAGAGCTCAGAAGTTGGCTAACAGTGTTACTCCAGGACTCCTGCCCCAAAATAACTGTTCTGGATTGTGTAACGGGGAAGCCTGGGGTTATGGCTTCCTGCCTGACTAGATCCAGGGGTCTAAACTTCAGGTCACTATGTGTCAGCTGTGGCTCTCCTGTACTTACCCACAGAGAAGTAAAAAAGCCCCTGTAGTCAGCTTGTACCTGCCCCAGGTGACGTCTCAGCCTCTGCATTTCCTGGTAACTCCGGAAGCACCATTTATCTGAAGGAGCGTTTATTTACCATCTTTTTTTTTTTCTTTTTCTTTTCACAGTGAGACATTATTTGGTGAAATGCCCACAGAACAGGTAGGAATGTTTTATTTATTTATTTTTCTTTAATGAGACTCTTCTATTTTACTTTCTTTTGGTATTACTAAGAAATTGGTTACATTCATATGTTTATCTCATTAGTGCACAACATTTTTACACAACTAACCACAAATTAGTCTAAAAATGTGTGTTCTGCACGCGTTCATATGTTTCCTAATTCCAAACTGGCTATCACATCCAGAGGGCTCAGAGAACACGTGGCTCATGCTGGCCCAACGTGTATGCTGAGAGACTTAGCACATGTACCTGGAGGGCTGCTCTCTTCAGTCTGTAGGTTTATGATGGTGCTGGCAGCTGGACTGAGCCACTTGGATACCTTACTGACCACAAACATGCCGAATCCCTTTTCACCAAGGCTTGCTTGCCCTGTGTCCCATTCTTGGAGAATGTGGCCATTAGTAATATAATATGTACTGGGATACTAGCCTTTTAACTGGTGGAATACACCTCACAAGTAACATTAATAGTTATAGGAGATATTACAAATGCATAGATTCTTAAAAAAAGACTTTGGACTTCAGTCCAGATAGGATGGTGTAGATCCCTTTCTCCCTACTCCTCCCCACTAAGCATGACTGTCACCTCTGGAAATAACTCAAGAGACAGCCAAAGGAGGACTCTGAGCAGTGGTAGGAAGGAGGTAAACTGGTTTGGGACCCTATGACTGGGGCAAGAATACAGCTGCAGGGAGTCTTACTCCCCTACCCAAACAGAAGATGACCTAGACCCAGCATTTCCTGACCACAGCCTAGCAACAGAAAACAAGCAGGTAGGGTCATTCCTTCCTGAGTTGTGCTGACAACCTCAGGTGAGCTGGACACCCCCGGCAGGGGGGACTGACTGGCAACCCTGCCAACAACAATAAGCAGTCGAGCAAAGGGCTCCTTCCCCACCAGCCTGAGACTCCCCTTCCCTGCCCAGAAACACTAGGCCGGTGGGTGGGACTGGAAAGAGGTGCTCAAACATAACAAGAGACCCGGCCCACAAACCTGACTGTTTCCACAGGCCTGAGACTCCCTTCTCCCACTGAGATTCCTAGCTACCCAGACTGGGGAAACCTCTTCCACCACCTCAGACAGCAGCAGAAGGGGCTGGTGGGAGCCCCAGTGACACCACATAAACCAAAAATAATACTGTAAAGACTGAAAATTAAAAGGTCGTTGGAACTATAGCTCATGAAAGTAGGCCGAGACTTGCGTGCTACACCTAAACAGGGTGACTGCCTACAAAATAAAAGGTTTAAATAGGGCTCAGTCTCTTAACATAATGGAAAAAATTTCCAGGATACAATAAAAAATTACCCCTCATACTAAGAACCAAAAAATCATAGCTTGAATGAAAAAGGAATTAACTGAGGCCAACACCAAGATGAATCAAATGAAGGAATTATTTGACAAGGATTTTAAAGCAGTCATCATAAGAATGCTTCAACAATCAAATTCTCTTGAAACAAATGACAAAACAGAAAATCTAGCCAACAGATACATGTTATAAAAAAAAAAAAACCAAATGGGAATTATAGAACAGAAAAGTACAGTAACAAAAAAACTCATTGGATGGGCTCAATACTAGAATGGAAATGACAGAGGTTAGAATTCAGTGAACTTAAAGACGGATCAATAGAATTCACTCAGTCGAAACAACAGAGAGAAAATAGTCTAGAAAGAAATGACCAACAACAACAAAATTACTGGAAGAAATAATGGCTGAAAAATTCCCATAATCTCTTGATAAGACTGTGATGTTAGCTGTAGGTTTTTTTGTAGGTGTCCTTTATCAATTTGAGTTAAATCCCCTCTATTCCTAACTTTCTGAAAGTTTTTTGTTTTTCTGTTTTTTTTTTTAATCAAAAATGGGTATTAGATTTTGTCAATTTTTTTTTTTTCTGTCAATTGATAAGATCATACAATTTTTCTTTAGGTTTGAATGTTGAACTAGTCTTGCGTAACTGGAATAAATACCACTTGATAATGGTTTATAATTGTTTTTATGCACTGTCGGATTCAGTTTGCTTTTGTTAACAATTTCAAAGTAAAAAAAAACAAACAGAACAAAAGCCTGTCAACCAAGAATTCTATATTCAGCAAAACTATTCTTAACAAAATGAAGGCAAAATAAAGACATTCCCAGAAAAAAAAAAAGGCTGATATTATTAATTGCTAGCAGACCTGCCTACAAGAAGTAATAAAGGAATTCCTTCAGGCTGTGTAGTATAGCAAAGGACTTGTCTAAATTCACATGGGATAAGGAACAGGATCAGCACAAAGCTGGTTCCTATGAAGGGGAGGTCAGGTATATCTCCACCTTCCTACATCTTCATAATTTCTGACACCAGCCGCTCCCCTACAGCACTCTCTACTTCTCTGCAGGGTTCAACAATTCATTGCAATGGCCACACAAAACTCACAGACCATACTCACAGTTATGTGGTTTGTTAGGGAAGTAATAGGCTACAATTTAGGATCAAGATTAACCTGGAAGTAACAGGAACTTGGGATCAGCATCAAGAAGCACACAGACTTCAGTGGTCTGTGGGCATGGTTTCTTTGCTGGGAGGCTGCCTTCTCCGCCAGGCAGATGCCCTGACTCAGCTGCTCTGCTGGGTGGTACTTTCTCTGCTGTGAAGGCCTCTGCCATCAAGCTCTTCACTGTTGGGCTTCCCATCATTGGCCTCTGCCACTAGCTGGCTCAGATAGTAGCCAGTACAGCAGCCCACTCAGCTCTCTCAGTTGCTACATTTCTAGCAGCAGCTCTCTGCTATCAGGCCTCTCTGCAGTTGGGTGCTCAGCCATCACGCTGTTATCAGCCTTTCCAGTGCTGACTGGCCCAGCTCATAGCCAGTGTAACAGCTCTCTCAGCTGCTGCTCTCCTAGCAGCTTTCTGTCATCAGGTCTCTCCACTGTCGATGCTCTGCCATTGGCCTCTGTGCTGCTAACTGGCCCAGCTCACAGCCAGTGTAGGAGCTTGCTCAGGTTTCTTAGCTGTGCTCTGCCACTAACTGGCCCAGCTCACAGTCAGCATAGCAGCTTGTCTTTTTTAGCTGTGCTTTGCTGTCAGGCCTCTTCATCATCAGCCTCTCTGCTGCTAACTGGCCCAGCTCTTAGCCAGCGTAGCAGCTTTGGGACCACTCGGCTGCTGTGTAACTTTGCTTCTTTGCCAACCCAGCTCTTAGCCAGCATCTCTCTCTGAACCAGTGGGCCTCTAATATGTCTGCAGTTCAGCATTTATATATCCCAATCCTCATCAGTTACAAGACGGGACCTTCCTCGCCAGACTGGAGTTCAACCAATCCTTAATTACCCATTAGATGTCAGTTAGCTCTGGTCTTGTTGTTTACAGCTTGCCCAGGAAGTGTTAATCAACCTGGGATATCTCCTGGGCAAAAGTAACAAACCCTCTGGGGTAGAAAACAACCTGGGAGCCTCTCCCACCTTCCCAATTTGCTTTCTTCAAAGAACTAGGACAAAGTAACTGCTCAGGGCTTAGGAGTCTTCCAGCCTGTTTTTCCAGAGAGCCAAGGCAAAAGGCCACAGAAAGGAACTCATTTCACCACAGGCTGAAAGGAAATGACTTCATGTGGTAAATCAACAGGAGAAACAACAAGCAATAGAAATAATATGAGTTAATAATAAAATTATACCATTCTGTAGTTATAGTTTTCCTCGTTTTCTCTCTAAACATCTTTCAAAGACATAAAATTTTAAAGCAGTAATTATTCTTGTATTGTTGGGTTTCAGGAGCCCTGGTGGTGCAGTGGTTAAAGCACTCAGCTGCTAACCAAGAGGTTGGCAGTTTGGACCCACCAGCTGTTCCATGGGAGAAAGATGTGCTTTTGTAAGGATTTACAGCCTTGGGAACCCTGTAGGACAGTTCTACTCTATCCTTATAGGGTTGCTATGAGTCAGAATTGATTCTATGACTTTTTTTTTTATTGTTGGGTTTATAACGTTTGTAGATAAAATACATGTGAAAATAATAGCACGAAGGTTGGGAGAGGAATGGAGTTATATTGGAGAAAAGTTTCTATATTTTACCAGAATTTAGTTAGTATTAATTTGAAAGACATTATAATAAGTTAGGATGCATACTGTGATTCTTAGGCATCCGCTAAAAAAATTCTAATAAAATATAGTTAAAGTATTAACAGAGGAATAAAAATGTTTGTTTCACACAAAAGAAGGCAATCAAGGGGGGACAGGAGGAATGACAACAACAAAAATAAAACAATAACAACAAAAAACCAGGAGACATATAGAAAACAAATAGCAAAATGCCAGATGTAAAGCTAGCCATATCAATAATTATGCTCAATGTGAATGATCTAAACAGCCCAACCAAAGACAGAGATCATCAGGTTGGATTAAAAAAAAAAAAAAAACAAATAAACAAAAGACAAGATCCAATTACATGCTGTCTACAAGAGATACAGCTTAGATTCAAAGACACAAATTGGTTGAAAGTTGTTGTTGTTAGGTGCCATCGAGTGGGTTCCAACTCATAGCGACCCCATGCACACCATAAGGGAACACCGCCTGTCCCGTGCCATCCTCACAATTGTTGCTATGTTTGAACCCAGTGTTACAGCCATTGTGTCAGTCCAGTTCGTTAAGGGTCTTTCTCTTTCTCGCTGACCGTCTATTTCACCAAGCATGATGTCCTTCTCCAGGGACTGGCCCCTCCCGATAACACGTCCAAAGTACGTGAGACAAAGTCTCACCATCCTCACTTCTAAGGAGCATTCTGGCTGTGCTTCCAAGACAGATTTGTTCCTTCTTCTGACAGTCCATGGTATATTCAGTGTTCTTTGCCAACACCATAATTCAGAGGCATCAATTCTTTGGTCTTCCTTATTCTTTGTCCAGCTTTCGCATGCATATGAGGCTATTGAAAATTCAGTGGCTTGGGTCAGGCTCACCTTAGTCCTCAAAGCGATTATCTTTTCCTTTAACACTTTAAAGAGGTCTTTTGCAGCAGAT